TATAATTTAATATTTATTATAAACTAGTTTCACTTAAAAAATGACAAAGAAGATTAATAATGTGTGAAAAATGGGCAGAGGAAACAATTTGATTCAGATGCGGGGAAACAAAAAAGAAAGAAGCGCAAAGCTGAATTTATCAATTTACAAAAAGGGGCTTTTTATAAAAAATAAAAAAATTACATTATGCACATCTAAAATGCTAGAAATAAACAATATCAACACATTATGATTGAATTTTTAAATGTATTACTTGATAAAGATTTCATTGGAAGAACGTTTTCAGCAATTGAAACTTTTTAAGAATCCTTTTAGGTTTTTATTTGTTACTAGCTGATAACCCATCATTTCTCCTTATGGATAAATAATAAATTTTAGCAAATTTCCTTAACATTTTATAAATTATTTTCACCCCAAATTTCCTGTTTATTTAAAATTCCTAGAGACATACTGTAACATTAAAACTCCTTTATTCAGACTACATATAGATTCTGATGAAGGGACCCAGCAGGAGGCACACGTCCTCGTTTATTTTATCATAGTATTCATTATCTCATCCATTATCTTAAATCTAAATTTGATTTGGGTATAAATATTTGGTATCTTGATGATGGAACAATCTGTGATGCTCTTCTAAAATAATTGGTTTTCATTTTCTTGAAGCCAATTTTAAAAGACTATAATTAAAAAAAAAATATGTTCAAACATGTTTCAAATATTTATTCATATTGAATACAATAAATATATATATTATATACTATACTTCATTAACATATTATAAGAATAATGAAAATTATTAACTCTCATCAAAATAAGTTAAATTTCTGATTCAATTCTTGTGGGACATCAGCTAGTAATCATATAAAATGCAAATATTTATTAGATTGTGGGAATGATCCTTCCTTAAGGATTTTATTTATTAATAATGGAGGCCATAAAGCACTCCTTGGTAAATTGTTATCCACAGAGTTTTGAATGTTTGCATCTTCTCATGATATGGATCAATTCTTTAAGATGATCCTAATTATAAGAAAATATTTTTTGATACAGGTACAGGGTAGGCAGGGATCCAAACCGAACCTGAACCAAACCGTTAAACCTCTAAAAACCGGTATTTTATATTGAACCTAAACCGAACATAAACCGCTAAAAAATTCTAGCCGAACCTGAATCGAATCGCTAAAATGCCTCTGAACCAGTTTAATATGCCTATAAAATAATGTGTAAGTTATTACTAGCATATTGCAAAAATTTTAAATATATTCGAATTGTTTCAAAGATTATTATCAATCACATTTGATTGATAGGTGTCAGTCATAATTTTTATAAACTTTAGTATATTGCCATTTTACGGCATTTTTTAAATATTTTGAGCTTATAAATTAATGCCTATAAATAATTTACATATAGTATTATAAATGACCCATCAAAATGTAATATTACTGATTGTCAAATAAATATGAAAGACCATCATAAATCTTGTGGGCCACCTAAAAAGAAACCATCATCTAGAATTCGATAAAATTAACAAAATATCACAATAAAAGTCTAATAAAATAAAAAGGTTTATGCACTAAGCCAACAGGCGATAGAAGAAGCATTAAAAGAACAAACAATATCAGTGAAACTAAAATAAATAATAATCGATGCTTGTACTGAGTTGATCACAATGGCAGATCATTCAAATAATCGATGATAGCGATTTTAAAAATTTTTTGATCCTATATTAGAAGACTTGGGTAATATTAAAATTAATTCTCAAATATTTAATCTAATAGTGCAGAATAAGCCTTAAGTATTTGGCAAAATATAATAAAAGAAATAAGTGGTAAGTTATTATTTCTATAAATTGACTGTGTTACTTGTCTAGACAGGTCCATTATTGGGATTAATCTTCAGTATATTTAAAAAGCAAAAATTGTTTTAAGAACACTAGCAATTAAAGAAATTTTTGAACGGCCCATTGCAGAAAATTTACATACTTTTAATAAAAGTATTAAAGGATTATGAAATCAAAACATCACAAATATATACTATAACAATTGACAATGGACCTGATGAATTAACAATCAATCTTAATGATTATATTATAAATATAAGATGTGCATTTCATACCTTATAACTTGAAGTAGATTATGCATTAAAAAATTGCTCAGTTTCTAATATTATTATTAATGCTCGTCTGCATCCAAGAAGCTAGGAGACAAAATCGATATCAATCATACTAAAAAAATTTAACTTAAAAAGATCTAAATTGGATTATCATAGATTGTTATCAACCTGTGACATGAAAAGGAATGAATTAAAATGTATGTGTGAGGAATTATCAGTATCATACATGAACTTTATTTTACAGCTTTGGAATGGAGAGCAATTATATGGTTGATAAAATTAAGAACTTACAACTTAGGCAGATAACCTTAGGGAAATTTTATGGCATATGTCTAAAAGTTAAATTAGACATTTATATTTTACTTAACCCTTTGCTGGTTCAATAATAGATGCTATGAATTTTAGAGAGCAACTTTTAAACAACAATGCCTTTTGTCATGCCTATATCTATGTTTAAGCTATGTTTTAAAAATATATTATATATTATATCCTATATAAATTAAATTAATAAATTTATTTACCTTAATTCATAATTTTATTTTACTTTATATATTTTTATATCTATTCATAAAAAATAATAAGATTTTTTTAATAATATTTTTATTATTATATAGATATCAAGTGCTTCCGACTAAAAAGAAAAACCAAGTCTAGAGAGCATATTATTAAAATATGGCATAACATGGAATTAAACTATGTTATAAGAGTGAAAGATTCTAGTGAAGGTGAATCAATGCCGGTTAATGTATCTTCATCTGAAGAGGATTTGGTAGAAAGTCTTCTTTAAAAATAGATGGTAACAAACAAAATCTGTTGCAAAAATCGGAGAATATTAGAAATATTTTAGTTAATTTTTCATAAAACTGAATATTTTAAACTATTGGAGAAATCAGAGTAATCGATGCCCAGAATTATGTAAATTGTTTGATATCATACTGGCAGTGCCAGCTACCCAAATTAGTATGGAAAGATGTTTTTCAACAATTAAATTTATACCATCTCTTTATGGATGTAATTTGAGTGAGATGAATCTTGAAAATTTATTAATTGTGCGGCCTAATAAAAAATTTTTAAGTAAATAAAGTTAAATATTGTTCATATTAAAATTATTCATTGATATTTACTTGTAATATTTATAATTTAAATATTATTTTATAATGTGCAATTAATAAAAATAAGTTTTATGTATGTGTTTTTTATTTTATGATGAAATAAAAAAAATATCCCTATACATAATTCGAATGTGGATTTGAATACAAAAATGTTCAACCCGGTTTTTAGAGGTTCAAACCGAACCGATATTTAAATTTTTTACGAACCAAACCTGAACTTTGAACCGTTATTTTAATACGAAATTGAACCTGAACCAAACCGATATTTGTTATGGTTTTTATCCCTGGGGTTAGGTCATATTTTAATTTTTTAAAATATACCCTTCGGAACACATGAATTTTCATTATATTAATTTCATTAAATATGTAAAAATTATATTTATGTGCTCTAAAAAAATATTCCTAGATGAATTTTTATGTTAGATTAAGAAAAAAAATATTACCTTTTTACCTATGCTGAGATTCGAACCCAAAGTTATCAGATTTGTGCGCGAAGATCTTGCCTATTAGGCCAGATACGCTTTCAAAATTCACGATTTTTTAAATATATATCATAAATTGTGACATGTGACATTGTGAGTGTGACACGGCTTTTATATATATTATAGATACATGCTTTAATAAATGCCTATTAAACGAAGCTAAAAGAATATTGTAACTAATTAAATATTTTATTAGATATTAATGTAAAAAATTTTAATGGATATTTCTTTAACAAACCATAAAAGTTCTCTAAATAAAGCCTTGCTAAATATTTTTTAGGATTTTCTAACTATTGCTGAACGCAACTTCTCAAATTTCAAACTAATTAAGACTTACTTGAGATCCTGCATGGCGTAAGACCGGCCTCGTCAACCTAACCTTAATTTCAATCGAAAATGACATTGTATAGATTGTCCTCTTTTGTGGAAAAAAGGCGAGTAGGATAATATTTAAACTACTTTCTTTTAATTTTTAATGATTATATGATAAGCCTGTTATTATGTTATATTAGCTTTTTTTTAATAAGCACTAACTCATATTTATGATTAAAATTTAAAAAATTTTCCATATTTGTCAAAATACGAAAAACTTTCAAACGAGTTTATTAAAAAATTATGGTTTATTAAAGAGCCACAAAATTATTTTTCGCCTTGGGCAGCCTAAAGTATCGGCACGGTGCTGCTTATTCCCAAACACTCTTTAAAATAAAGCTAAATTTCTACACAACTCATAAGATAAGCTTATTTCTGATTTATCTATCAAATAAAGAAAAAATTTATGATTCCACCATCATATAATTAAGGCGAAAAATGTTATTTCCAGTCATGCCGTCGCGCTATCACTTAGTTATTCAATAATTATGGTCATTTATCTTCAATATCTGAAAGATGACCCTTATTTTTTTTTAACTAGATTTTTGGCTTATGCTACTATTCTATTGGTTGGTCCTATTACGACGATGCCTTATTGTAATTATTTTTGATTAAAGTTAAATTTTTTTTAATAATAACATTGTTTAATTTATTAGTTATAATGTCGTTTATCCAATTCCCAATATAAATTCTTTCGATTGTGATAGTATGGCTGTAGAAATCAAGAGTTATATTTTAAATTGTTATTCATTAAAAAAGATTTCGTCCTGTTTGTGTTTCTTATCAAGTCATTTGGATTCATTTCAAAGATTAAAAATGATTAGAATATTTGATTATTACCAATGGGCCCAATTAAAATGATAAGTATTTGTTTCAACTAAAAAATTCCTTGTGGCTTAAATATAAAAATAAAAACTGCGAATGCTAAATGAAATTTTATTTAAACATTCTTTAAATTACCAATAATAGCTAATTATATAAATTAAAATATTTTGATTATACACAAAAACTAATATTTGATAAATGGTATAGAAAATAGGTGTGTAGGGAATAAATAAATGTTGGAATGTGCAAAATTTAATAATGAAATTGTAAATATAATATAATTAAGTTATCACCGGTTTTTATTCATCTATAATATTTTAAATATGTTATTGATGTAAATTTTTTTATAATTCCTAAATTTAATATTGTAATAACTATTGTATCTTATAATAAGTGAATTGATTAATAAATTTAAAAAAAAAAAAGGTTTTACAATGAACCGTTAAGCGATATATAATGATAAGCTATTTATTTAAAGATATGAAAATAATTGAAGGAACAATTTATGTATTAAAAATAAGCTGATATTTGTTTGAAAAATATTTTAATGGCTTATGGTCTTCTGAAGGTGAGAGGCTTTTTCCTGTTTTTTTATATTTAATATAAAAAAATTATTTTGTTTAAAATTTGGCAAGTAATAAAATTTAAAGGAACTACAATCTATTAAAGTCGATTTTAAGTCATGCCAAGAAATATTAGACCTGTTTCTAAAATAGAACCGTAGGTAAAACGATTCAGAATTAATTATCTTATGGATGTGGAGGTGTTAATAGTACTCTCCACAAATTAAAAAAAAATTATAGTTATAATCTCGAAATATAACAAACTTCTCCCTTGTCTGTTAGAAGAGAAGTAGTAACGTTGCTACCCGTTCCCCAAGATCTGCGGTCTCTAAATTCTAAATTGTCTGGCTTTCCATCGTAATATCCAGAAGCAAAAACCTTTTAAATTAATACATTACAATAAGTATAAGTTAGTAATAAATAAGAGGGAAAGAATAACCAATAAATAAAGTTTGCATCTCCATTAAACAAGGCCAAGAAGATTTTGTGTGATTTTATATATTCCATAGAAAAATTGAAAAAAGATCCTTAAAGCTTTATATTTTTTAAAAAATTACTTTGACAGTTTTTCCGGGCTTAATGGTGAATTTCGGGAAATTGTAGATAATATTTTCTCGGTTGTCAATATTCCTTCTGATTTGCCATCCATCGATTACTTGTTCCTTTGTAAAAATTATAAAATCTATACGTTTATAAACATAAATAATAAATAAATTGCACATCATTCTATCTATAGAATAAATATGAACTGTATTTAATTTAGGATTGGTTTTTATAACTTGTTATTATTGTGCCAATGGTAAATTAACTAAAAACATTATATTATCTTTGATATTTATAACTACATGTAAAAACCTTCAGTTTGCTGGTATTTTCAAGCGATACAAAATGACCTTCAGGGTCAACTTCGGAAATTGTCAAAGGTCCTTTAGAAGTTCTTTGAAAAGTTGTTTTAGTAGAAGATTCGCCTGCCAAAGCTTTAGACAATGAATCTTGACCCAGAATTTCTCGTGTGCCTATCTGGCTTATAGCTTTCCTCACGTGCTTGATCGATTCAGGGGAGAGATTTAATCTGAATTGGGTAGATCATTTAATTTTTTATTCATTATGATGAGTACTAAAATGTTTAGGTTCGTCCAATATTTTCCATAAATGGTAATTAGGGAATTAAAAATTTAATAAATAGCAAATGGAAACAATAAAATCATAAATATATATCACTTATTTTGAAAAGATAGAAAGGCAGGAAGAAAATTTAAAATATCTCTTATTAAAATTTCTCTTTGAGTAAATTTTTTAAAATAACATACTTTCTTCAAATATAAAATCCTATACCTATTCTCTTCTCCTTCCAGCAGACGTCTGTAAGCAGCTATTTCTAGATCAAGTCTGAGCTTGGTATCCATTAACTCCCTTAGTTCGAACAACTGCGCCGCAATTCTCTCTTGAAGCTCTTGCATTTCGTAATCTCTTTGAGCCAACTGAGCTTCAAAATCAGAATTTTCATTGCTAATAGCTCTCTCAAGTTCCATGATCCTTTTTTCCAAGGAAGAATTAGCACTTCGTAACTCAATTATTTCTGTACTGATTTCGGAAACTCTTGATCTAGAGATCTGGGCGCTGCTTTTAGCATTCATTTCTTCGACGTTTTTCTTTTGAGTAAGTTCCATAAATTCTTGCATCTGTTAGTAGATAGAAATACTATTATTCTAAATTATAACAAATTATCATATTTTCAGAGTCCTAGGGATTATAAGATAAATAATATAAAAGCTAAAGGAATTAATAAGAAACAATCAATGTTAATCTATTAAACAGATAACTTATGCATGAATCTGAAATGGAAATTTTTATAAATTCTGTATATGATACCTTGGTCTTGTACCAGCCCTCGTTGTCTGGATACATCATTTTGGATATGTTTTCATATTCGGTCCTGATATCCTTAATTGCTAAAGATAATTCATTTTGGAAAATTCTTTTAAATTCTCCCGTATCACTGCTTTTGATTCCCTCCATCAATTCTTTTAAGGTCTGATTTTGTATAATAAAATTATATTTAGATTATAGATATTTTTTTATATTTTAAAGTGAATTAATATTTAATTAGTATTTATTAATTTTTATGTTTTATCTACTAAACATTTACCCCTATGAAAGATGCAAAGTAATCCTGAAATTAAAAAAAATAGTTATCAATCTATAATTTCTAAACGATATTATCTTATTTCATGACGATATTCTATAACTAATTATAATCAAATTTTTTAAATTAAGTTCTAAAATAAATTATAGTGCTCACAGCTTGATGAAGCTGTTGTTGGAAATCCAAATCTTCTTGAAGACTCTGTAATTTGTTTTCTAAATCAACTCTAATCAATAATTCCTCCTCATTAGTAATCTTGGCATTCATTAGTTCGTCTAACAAACGTGCAAGTTCTCTCTTGTATCTATCAATATCGTCGTTGGCTTGATCCAGTTTCTTTTGTAAATTGGCCAGCTCTCCGTCTTTTTCAGACAGCAATACTTCCAAACGAAGCAATTTATCGCGTTCAGTATGGTGAAGGCGGGAGATGTCATCATATCTTGATATAATTTGTATTATTTAAAACGTTGAATTCTAAATGAAATAACTTTGGTAATTCCTAAGGGGCAATTTATTATTTAAATCGTGAAAATATTTTTTCAAAAGATTTGAATGTGAAAATCAAAATACATGTTTATTTTAAGAGAAATTGTTAATTTTAATGACAGCATATATTACATTTGAGCAAAAATTTTTTTAAAAACTCATTGCATTGCAATGAAACTAAATTTCTACTCCCCCCCCCCCTCCCCTTGATTAAACATTGTATCGTCGTGATTAAAATCGTAAGGACAATTATTTTTAAATTTATGATTTCCAAAATAAATTTCGTTTTTTTACATAAAGGTGTTAATGTTAATCCTTTTTTGCTAATTTATATAAAAATTATTTGACGGAATCATTAGAATGGAGGAGAGCGTCATTATAATTTTTTTGAAATATCTTATAAGGTCAGTAAGATTTTATTGTCTTACCCCCTCAATCTTTTTTTACAACATATTTTTTAAAAGCCTTTATTATAAAAAAAAACAAGGATTTTAATTTAATTTATTTTAAAAATAAATTGCAGGGAAAAACTAAAAGTTCGATCAACTTTTACCTGCAAGAGCAAATAAAATTTTAATTTTTTTAAATTATATTCATTTGAAAAAAAAAAATATATTTCAAAAAGGTATGCAAAAAACAATTTGATATTTTAATAGATAATTTATATTTTTTAGCCTCAGAAAATGTTTTAGAAAACATACATCTTTTATTTTGAATTTAAGAATTTGAATTTATAACAAGGTATATATTTCTTTTCTAACAACGAGAATTTTTTTCGTAAAATGAACATCAAAGTTTTGATAAAATCCAAAAACTTTACCTAATATATATTGTAAAACTACTAAATTTGTTATTGAGATAAAAAAATGTTAAAAAAAAATTAAAAAGTTTTGCCATGAAATCCTCTAACTTAATTCCTTTCCTCCTCCAATGCATATTCAATATAAAACAAAAAATGAATTATATCCATTAGCACAGTTGACCTATATTAAAAACATATAATATATCATTTCACCTTTAATTTTACAATAAAACACAAATTTAATTTTTTTAAAATATATATGTCATTTTTATATATTATGACATAAAAATTATATTTTTCCCTGCATAAATATGTGATATATAAATGGCTTCACTCTAACCATAGATTTAAAAAAATATATATCCTTTTATTTTATTTATGCATGCATTTCATTTTTAAAATTAGTTTATATATTATTTACTTGTTAATGTCTCTTTAAAAAATGGCCTTTATTCGTTAGATTTCAAAAAGTAACGAATGGCGCCCCTCCCCTAAAGGAACGCTCATCGTTTTTATCATATGTTGGATTATTTCTTTTTTTAAATTAAAATTTTTATCATTTCAAAAAAAATTAAATTGTTTAGACATTCTTTATCGTATAGTAAACACTCGCATCCCAGAAAATGCTGTGTTAATTCTTTTTTAAAAAATTGAAATAAAATTAAATACTAATTTTTTTTAAAAAAAAATTAAATTGTTTAGACTAGAGGTTTCAAACGGGATTAAAAAAAATTGTAAGGTTTAATAAGATTTTTAAATAAAAGAGTGGACTAGCGGATGAATATTTTTTTAAAAACATGCGGGCGGGCAATTTTTTTCAAATTAATAGGCGGTTGTGTTAAAAACTTACCATAGCAAACCTCTTTACTTTTGTACCCTTTTTAATGATTGCTTTCTCTTCCAATAAGTATTCCAAAAGATTATGAGGTTGCACCGAGGATTTTATTTTTAATTGATAGACTATTTTTATTTTATAACCTTGGCTATTTATTACCTCTGACCTTTATTTTTTTTTAAATGATAAACAAGTGTCAAATGGCGTCCTTGAAAATTAAATTTCACTATAAATTTGACCTTTATATTTTTATGATGATAAAAAAAATCTAGTATCTTTTGTGTTTATATAAGTGTTATTATTATAATATAAATTTGTTTTCTCCTTAAAAGTCGCAATTTAAGGATTTGGGAAGAAAATAAATTTTATAATGTTAGTTTAGTGGATTCTCACTTTGATTTACTAAGTAATAAACTTAGTTAGACGTATTTAAACTTGAAAAAATCATGGCTAATATGTGATATAGGAAATGAAATATGTTGAATAACATTAAACATTTAAATTTTTATTCAGAAAAATCGATATTTCACTTTGTAAAAAAAATCGACAAAAAAAGTGAGTTTTACAAAAAATAATTAACCGAAAAACGACCTTGAAAATTTTTATTTTATTTTTTTAAGATATAAATATTTTTTAATACCATAAATTTATATTGAACAAGTGAAATGATTTTTTTGGCACAATAATATAAAAAAGTAAAAACATTTTGTAATTTGAGGTCGAGTGTTATATCAATGGAAGAAAATCCAACTATTTAAGCTACATATAAGTGGATATATAATGTATATTTTACTAAAAAATTTAAAAATTTTTAGGCTTTGCTGCAAATAGAAATTTTAGAGAGATTTGGGAAATAATTGTTAAATTTGTATTTTTAAAACATTCAAATAATACAAATTGAGAAGGTAACTTAGTTCGACTTAGAATTAGGCAACCAATAATGAATATGTAAATATATATCTTTTTGATATTTAGATTTATTTGAGATTTATTTAAAAAGATTAAGCTTGATTTCTAATTTTATATTGTCAAAATTTTCGGTTGCCAATACAAAAATGATGGCTTAAATGAAATTTAAATAATTAGATATTACCATAAGAAAACCTTATTATTTTCACTATACAATATTACACTTATAATATTAATTTTCATTGATTTCCCATTCTTAGCAATACTTTTATTCTAAATAGTTAATTTATCTATTAAAACTTTATATCAATCTACTAAATAAACTATATATCTTTAAAGAAATTTTTATATAAAACTTACTTAATTCGGTATTCATCTATATCGTCTTCGAGTCTATTGCAACGAACTTCAAGTCTAGCTTTATCCCTGGAGGTAACATCAAGTTCTTTTCTAGCGTCTCTTAGTTCACTTTCATATTGAGCTCTGACTGAACTAACTATCCTTATCAGTTCGTTTTTTATAGCTACAATCTCTTCGATAAGTTCGCCGTGTTGTTTTTCAAGTTTCCTTACTCTCTCGATGTAACTGGCAAATCTTTCATTAAGATCTTGCAATTCTTTCTTCTCCTTTTCTCTAAAGGCTATTGTAGCTTTGGGAGAGGCAGCGAATGAGGAATCGAAACCTAGGCCACCCCCAGATCCACCTTTTATAAAAGATGAGGAACTGTAGCCTCCTATTCCACCTCCAGAACTTGCTCCTCCGGACCGAGTAGTGGTTATCGTCTTTTTTATGATGGTTGAACTCGACATTGGTGTTGATGTAGTAATTGGATGTCCGTAATAATCGGTTACCTTGTTGTCAAAACTGCTATCAAAATCTTTTCCTAAAGGTTTGATTGAAGGGTTGTTGGTAGAACTAAAATAATCACTGTTCAAGTAGCTAGATCCTCCTGATTGACTAGATGGTTCAGAAGTTAGTAAAGGTGCTGTTGTTGTTTGGGCTGGTGGCGATTTGTTGGTTTCCTCACTAGTTAAATTAGTTGTGGTTCCAGTTAACTTCTGCTTAATTTGTTGTAAAAATGAAGGCGATTGGGTTTCTTCCCGGCTTTGTTTTTCGGTTTCGGAGGAAGATTCAAAAGTATTTTTATTACTCAAATTTGAATTATTATTTGTATTCGAAAATTCGTTTATGATCGAAGTTTCCTTCGAGCTACCTTTATTTATGTTATCTTTTACCTTTACGTCATCGTCAGCCATTATTTTTTTCGTATTATTATTACTTTTATTTTTGTTGATATTGTTTTTCTATAGCGGCCAAAAAAATAGATATATTTACAAATATAATCTTTTTTTTAGAAAATTTTACTTAGGTAAATATTTGTTACCTGCATTATACCTAAGTTATATTTTTTTGATTTATTCATTAATATAATATTTGTATTTCATATTTATTTTATTTAATGGTTGGATGGTTAACAAGGTAATTTATATAATAAAAATAATATTTATTATTATTTTCTTATTAAAGAAAATTTCCCAAGGTAAAATGAAATTGTATATTCGAAAATTTTTATTGGTTTCTAAAAATATTTTAAAAATCTAAAATTAATTTTATTTTTTTATGAATATTTTCACGTATAAAAAATGTCTTAATTTAAAAAGTGAATTAGAGTTAATCGAAGGTAAATATGATTACAAGAAAATAAGACAATTTTGTCTGAAATGTGTTTTTTTATACATTAAAAAATTAAATCCATGTAAATAGTTTTACCATTTTTAAGAAAAATATTTGGATGAATAATATTTTTTTATTTAAAAGTCAAATTTAAAATTTAATATAAGAGTTATAATTATTTAAAGGGATAAAAATGATATTTATAGTTATTTTAGATATATTGTATATTTTTTGAAGGTAAATAAAACGAATATTTTTGGGTTTTATAAGTTATTTAGTTATTATGCAATATATTTATAACAAACTATTAAAAATTTTATGAGAGGGGAAAAGGAAGGTTTTATTTGTTTTTGTTGTTACCTGTTGGCCTAATTGCATAAATTTTACATGTTAAGTAAACATTTCTTTAAAAAAAATTTTTCCTCCAAATTCTCTAAATTTTGGGGGAATAAATTCTTTTTCGTTTATATATACATTTTTTAAACTCATTAACATTATATTGTTTCCATACCTTATACAGAAAAAAAATATATTATCCTTTATTCGAACATTATTCAAAACAATAAACTTTTTTTAGTATATTTTTACATCTTAAAATTTATTTCATAATCTTATCCCTGCGAGCTAAATTTTTTAGGTTTTTTTAATAAAAAAGGTCTTTTATACAAAAGGTAATAACAATTATCCTAAATGATGATAAATATGTGAGCTTTCTGCAATAACATAAGTTTTATTATCTGTACCTAAAACCATAAAATAAGAGTTTAATTATTTGGGTATTGGCGAAATACTGATATTTTAAAAGTGGAGAGTTATAATATTTTAAATGAAATTTTTTTTAATCGGATCTATATATAAATAATTAATATGAAATGATTTTGATTTTCAGAAAAACTTGAATGTGTTCATTTTTAAATCTATACAAACAATATTTTAACAAATCATACATAGTTATTTACTAGTATGCCTAAATAAAAATATATACTTACATCTATAAATGAATATTAGTTTATTCTTATCGGAAAATAAACTTTGATGCGATAAATGAAAATTAAGTTATGAAACGATAATTTATATTGTCAAATTGGAATAATTTTTCTCACTTTACTTTATCAGTAAAAAAATATAATTAAAGCCTAAATAATATTGATTTTTAATTTTCATATATATATTTTTTCAGCAATAAATTCCCATCCAAAAATATCAATAAATTTGCCAAAAATGTTTAAAAAATATGAAATAAAAATATGGGCTAGATGAGTTTTTATCATTATTGGCGATGAACCACTAAATTTATGTAGATACCTTTGTTTGGGGCACATATATTAATTAGCTGCCAAAAATAAAATTTACCCCTCTGGAGTTAATAATGAAATTTAAAATTGATTTAATTATTTTATTCAAAATACAATAATATCAAAAAATGAGTTCTTTAATATATTAAGGGTAAAAGAAGAGAAGAAACGAAAACTAAAAGAAAGAAGAATAAAAGATTCAGTGATTTATTTGACTTGATTGATTAATATAAAATTGATTCAATCAATATTAACAATCTATAAATTTAATGTGAGATTATAAAGATCTTCAGCTAGTAGGATTTGATATAATTAGAGATTCTTAATATGTATAAAACGTGTAGTATATCCAGTCCCATTTTCCAAAAAATTTTCTATCTGAAAAATATCGTTACTATTTGCAAAAATATTCGAGATAAATATTTTCTGGATTTTCTATGTTAGCAATATCCGCTAATTCACTGTGGTGATTTAAACAGTGCAATGTAAAAGCAGATCAATATATTGCAAAAAGACGTGATTTAACTGCAGATTTATCGTCATAAATGGTTGAAATATTCATATGGAAAAGATCCTCAGAAAACCCGACGGATTTAATAATATAGAATATTGTAGAAATACTATTTGCATCTTTAGACTCCTAGTTATGCCAAATAATATATAATAGTATAATAATGAAGAGAACCCCATTACAGCTTTAATAAAGTATTAAGGTTTATTTGATAATGTTGTATAATTCATCCTTGAAAATATATTATTTAACAGGGTCATACTATGTCAAATCGATCAAGATACGGCTCTTCCAATTTTTAGAAAATTTAATATAAAAAGGTTCGTGTAACCAATATTTGAGAAATTTTAGCCTCCTAGCTTTTTTACTTTTGAAGATATCAGGGACATAAAAATTTACTTTCTTTTATGAGCGTCAATTTTCATACAATTAATGATGGATTAAAAACTAGGGCAATTGTAAATAATTTTAGATTCAAAATGTATTTTATAAGAAGAAAATACATTTAAAAATTTAATATTTTTTTGGGGTATCTTTATCCCCGAATTTTAAAAATGAATAATTTGCAACAAACATTACTGACATCTATTATATGAGTACAAAAAAGTTGGAGATGACCGTTTATGATTTAATAGGTAAAATCTATAAATACGATAACTAGTAAATATAAAAAAAAATAAAATATTTTATATTATTGGTTTAATTGATCAATCCTGTTTATATTATATTTTTTATAGATGATATCATATTTTTTAATGTTTGGGTCGCGGATGAAGCTTTGAACTGCGATTTAGCTTTGGGGCTGGTTTTGCAGATCTATCTCTAACATAAAAATATGCTATATATTCTTTCATTAATTTATTTTAACCAATAAATGTAGTTTACCCTTTTAAGTATTAGAGACCAGCTAAGCTCACAAGCTGGGCTTATGGTTTATGGGCTAGTTGGGCAGAAAATGAAACCATAAAAAATAGATAAATTTATTTATGCTATACAATAATTTTTAAATGAAGTTGAATTATAAAAATATTAAAAAATATATCCAATAATTAATTCATTGCTTGTTCGAAATTCGTCTGTTAAGATTTTATGAAGGTTATCTGGCCAGTCCCATACAAATATTTTAAAGAAAAAATTATAAAATACCTAAATTTTTCCAATTCTAAGAATATTTTTTTTTCAGAAATTCTGCAAAATATTTTACACCAGTTCGCTGCCTATAAATTTTAGCCCAGGTGGACTGGCAGGCTGAGCTGTGTAGACTGCATATTCCTAATTCTTAAAATACGGCACAACTACTTTTATTGATTTATAATAGAAAGAAATAAACAATATATCAACCTATACCATCTTTTTATGTTAGAGAGCTGCACATTGCGACTCAAAACCTAATTCATCGCAGAAAGCCACGCCCGAGTGCTAGGTATTGAAAATGTTGTGATATGAATCTTTTAGAATATTTATTATTTTTAAAAAAAGTTCATAGAAATATTATTAATCAATTAAGCAAAGAAAATGAAATACGTTATTTATGGATAAAATATTGCTTATTTTTCATTAATTTTTTATCTAATTTACCTTCGATTTTTTGTACTTAAATACTATAATTATAGTCATCTTTGACAATTTTTTAAAAATTGGCTCATTTTTCTCTATAAAGATTTTAAATTTTGTTCTGAGCAGAAAATTGCAATTTTTTTAAAAAGTGTATCCACCAATATCAATGTCACACTCCCTTTTCCCCAGAAGAGAATGATATACAGTGTTATTTAATTTTTATTTCAAAACAAACTTTCTTGGCGGAGGTACAATGTCTCCCGTTTGTATAAAATTTCAACAGAATTGGTAAAATATCAGTGCATTAGCTAGTTTGATTTAAAAATATAAATTGGCACATTTAATCATTGTGTTTCAACAAATATTTTTTTGAAGATAATACTTAAATCCATGCACCCTTACTTTTTTTATGGATTATATTGGATAATCCGTCAGAAATATCACAGATATTTTGTATATATGGGGTAAGGCGTGGTTACCTTCAAGGGTTAGTATATGTATTTATATTGGAAAGAAAGAGACAAGGGCTTATACGGCCCCAAGGGTCAGTCATTTTTATTAATTGTTTATTTATACCTAAATTCGATATGGTATAAGGCCTAGATGCCCTCAAGGGTTAGTGGTTTGATGCTGTTTTATTATATGAGATCTTCAAGGTTAGAATAATAGGTCATACTCATATTATATTTGAATGGCTATTTTTAATTATATTTATAAAATCTTGATTTTACTTAAATAAATATATGGGATGAGGCCTGGGTGCCATCAAGGGTTAGCAATTTGAGAAGGATAAATGATGTGGGCTAGTGTGAATAGTATATATAAGATATGGGAGAGGGCTAGCTTTTTATTTATAATGTTTCTGAAAAACTTATAAAACTATATATTATTCGGATTGTTCAAAAGACTCAAGCAGAATGACCTCAAACCTCTTTTTTGACTCTATCTAAAATTGCATCTTTACAATTGTTTGAATTAATAATTGATTATATGATGAAAAAAAATATTTTGGGTAAAGCGTATTTTTGTACGATGACTATTTATCAGGTTATGTCCGGGGTTCATTAAATTGATATCAGGCTTTTGATAAGATCGTCTAGTTGTACAGAAGAAACTTTAATTTACTAGAAATATTAGGGTTATATTTAATATATTTTAAAGTTTTCTAGTTGTAATACATAGTTGGAATAGATATTTTTGGTTTGCTTTTCAAAACAGCTTAAAATTAGATATAATTTATATTTAATATTATTGTATAAATTATTTA